AATAGTTTGGCCTCTTTATCGTCGGCAAAGTTGAGACCAGCCATACAGTCCTATACAACACATTCAGTACATAACAGACACACAATTAGATAAACCACTAAAACAATGTCATTATGTGTTTGTAATGAAACTCATTGTAAAGTAAAGTAAACCACACAAACATTTCAATTAAAAATAATCGTCTCTTTAAATCTGATATGAAACACATATTTTAACTATAAATCTAATGTAAGGTATGTTTGTGTACACTATATATGAAGAGTTCACTATAGAAACAATAAGAAATGAGCGGTCATTACGTGAGCCTCAAATGTGTGAAAGAACTCGCGGGGAGTCTTGTATTGAAAAGTATTGTATAACTCCTGTTCCCAAACCAATTGTTGTCTCTATAATCAGTCATTTGGTGGACAAACAAATAGACCATTAATTCACACAATATTTACGTCAAACCGTAATTGAAATGATAGTTACATCAAAATCATAGACACGAATAAAATAGGATCTCTTGGGGTTGTCTTTGACAAAACAGACCACTCCTGTGCAACGGATCTGCCATTTCGAGTGATGTGGAGGTTCTGTCAGCAATAACTGCACCACCGATGATGACAGTGTCTACGGGACGACAATAGGTGTTAAAATTAATTAACATATCAATGATGGTTTGGTGCCAATAGTGGACATACCGTACACTTCTTGCCTAACAAACCGAAGAGAACCGTATTTTCTTCCTTCGAGAGCAAAGCCGAGGGTCTGTTTTCCGGCGGTTGTGGTCTTCGATGATAATTAGTGGCCATTTGGTCATCACTTGTGATCAATGGGTCAGATAATGGGATTTAAATGGTTTCGCAACACATTTAGTGATATTATTATAATAAAAATGTATAACTTTTATAAATAAAACTATCGATTAATTAAAAAACACATAAAAGTGTTTAACAAATAATTAAAACTTTAAACTATTCACACGTTTTACGCAAAATATAACACAATTTGTCGATTGAATTACTGTTGAAAAGTATTTGGCATTCAATTCAGTGCTTAAGTGTGAGATATAATAGGATTTTCTCACTTAATCTCAATACAACTGATAAGAGGTTTAATCGTAACAAATATTTGATTAAAATTAACACAATTTATATAAAAAATACGTTTAAATAATGTGTGAATTAAATGTATTATTAAATTTCAGTCAAACCTGTCATACATTTACTCATTAACTCATTCAACAAAAATGTCATGTGTTTTGAGTTTACATTCAATGCTATGTTTTAACACTAATGTTAGACATCTATCGACTAGTATTCAAAACAATGTCAAGAATCTGCTTATATTAGTCGTCAGATTCTGTACTCGTAATCAGTTTTATATTATAACAGAATATTCCTTATAATGAGATGTAACACAAGTCAACCCTTTATGCCTATTATAAGTTACATTCATATAAGTTCTCAAATTCTGTTTATGTTTTTCTCAATTATTTTTATGTCAAAAATTAAAATTTCGTTAAATAAATATTTTTATAATATTTGAATATTTTAATAAATAATCAAAAATATTAGTATTTTTGCAAATTTTGTAATTGTGTATACAATACACACTATTTTGTTATAAATATTTATAATAAAATCAATTTAGAAAATAAACTAATTGTAAAATAATATATTCACAGAATTTTATCAAATATTCTTCATGGTAAAAATAGAGTTCAAGGAAATCATTCATTTTTGTTAAACAAATATTCAGAATATTGTAAATATGAATAATAAGAATCAATATATGTTTCAAAATATAAAGTCATAAAATCATATTTAAAATGATAATTAATACAAATAGCTAATAAAGTGTAACAATAAAATTAATTAAGATATTCTATTAAAGTATATATTCTGTATTTGTATTCAAAAAGATCACTAAATACTGTATAATATTATTAACAAAACACTTGATTACAAATATGATTGCATTAAAAATTAATATAACAATTATTATATTTTTAACTTCTAAATATTATACTGTAAATAGAAACATACCACGTTCTGTATATAATCCTTGTGTGAGTATAATCAGGGTGATTTGTAAACATGAATCCCAACGAATCCAATACTTGTTCGCTGGGAATGCGAATACTATGTAGAAAAGCAGGTGTGGAGACATTGAATGTCTGAAAATTACTCATATTTTTTTGATTAATATAATCGCATTTAATTACAAAATCAATAATTAATATAATATATCAATAGTTATTTAAGTTATATTTGTAATGATTTCAACACAAAACAAGTGAAAAATAATTTAAGTCAACACCAAAATTGAAATACTTTTTCATAACAAAATTATATTTAGTATTATAACTGAACACAAAATTTAAAATAAATATTTAAATATTTTATGTGTTTTGATGAGCAGAACATTAGGAAATAAAAGTAATATAAACTTAAAATTCAATGTTATTGTAATATACTGTATAAACTAATAACGTGAATATAAAATCGATTCACATATTAATTATGCTAAAAATGACATATTCTTTGAACTACTTTATAATACATATGTTTCACTACAGAATATATTCTATTTTATACATTAAGAATTATAAAATAAGTTTTATTTCATTTTAAACTTACAACAAAATCTATTGTAGTCATAGATACATATATTTTGCTTGATTTTTACAATTAATATGCAATTAAAATGATTGCGGTTATAATGTGGCTAATAATGACTGTCCATTTGGAGACCGCATGAAACGACACGCGATTCTCCATTTTGATAATCTCAGTTCCGGCGACGAATCGGTAGACGAACTTCTGTGCCAACACTTTCTTAATGATATTCTTGTGGTAACAATACCTCAACGCTCGGCTCAGTTCACAGTAATTCATATTATGCTTATTCTTCCGCAGACCCCACAGTCGCGCCACCTCTTCAGCCGACACCAGTTTGAACTCACCGTCATTGTTGGTCCACGTGATTATGTTTTTGTACTGAGCATGGTTAAAATTATAGACAATTTGGTTATTTTTAAAACTTTTATTTATTAACAATTATTGTTATCAATCATAAAATGCGCCAAACATTGAAACAAACGGCACAACACATGCGCTCTCACTCTCACTGTATGTCTCATTGCATTCAATCATTATTTGAAAACATCATTTGATCCCAAGATATACATCACCCGAACGGACACAACAATGAATAACTCATCCTATCATCAGATGGTTAACGACAGGAAACGCATCCAAATGGAGGCAGAGATGAATCGGTAACACATATACCACACTATCTTTGCCACAGATGTCACCCATTGTTTCATCACTTCCTCATAGGTTTGAACAAGAGATCAGTTCCCGACCGACAGCCTATACGGGCCCACACGTGCCCTCTGCAGGACACACACACTTCACCGGCAATACTATGTCAGCCCCGCCCACCACTAATGTCCAGTTCATACCACACGCCATCCAAAGACAACAACCTCTTAGAACCGGTCAAAATCACCACCAAATGCATCAACAAATGCAAACATCTTATGATAATTCATCAACAAATGGTAAATAACGGATCAATTGCATAACATTTGTATTATATTTGTATCTATTTCTTGAAATAGCGGGTAATATAATGGCCATCAGTGGACAGACATCTGCGGCGACTCCGGGAACAGCTTTAGGCACCGCTGGCGGCTCTTCGGGCGCACCGGTGGCCAAGAGGTCAAAGACGAGCGCCGCAGACAAAGGCAAAAAGCCAAAGAAGATGTTGCGAATGGCCGGCGGAACCGTTTGGGAGGACAACACACTCGCGGAGTGGGATTCCGACGACTTTCGCATCTTTTGCGGCGATTTAGGCAATGATGTGACGGACGATGTGTTGAGCCGTGCGTTCAATCGGTTCCCGTCTTTCGTAAAGGCGAAAGTCATTAGAGATAAGAGAAGTAACAAAAGCCGTGGCTATGGGTTCGTCAGCTTTAAAGACCCGCAAGACTTCACCCGCGCTATCAAAGACATGAACGGTTTGTGCCCTTTATTTTCAATTTATTTGTTGCTATAAATTGCATACAAAAAACTATTGCAAATTAATTAACGCCAAAGTCTTTGTGCTAAAGTTTTTTGACTCAAATTTCTATGTGTTTTTCTAATTAATTATTTTATTAATTAATTTAAGCATTTTATTAGGATTTTATTTTTTAATTCCTCTCAAAATATTACACAACAATGAAAATGACATAATAATAATCATTATAATAATTGGTAACAATAATGCGTTAAATATGAATACAATAATTTAATCCGTGATATATTTATAGTAATAATTAGTTGTTTAAAGCTATGAATTCTTACTTCAAATCTCTATTTAATCTATTTTTCTTCTGTCTATTGATTTGTCGTTTGAATTTTTATGATATATTTCTCTCACTTGTAAAACGTATTTCCAAAATGTTTTATTTGTCCGCAAAAATAGTGGGCAAATATTTTTGATTATAAATTATTTGTTTGAATGAATGATTGACCGATTGATTGATTGGATGTGATATATGAGTTAATAAGAGCCAAAAAGGTGTGGTACTGACCATCGATGGGAATGAGTCTTATGTTTGTTATCCTGTTTGTGACGAATGGCTTGATTTGCGTTCAGAATATTCTGCTCATTATTAGCCATACTTTTAAGCGTTTGTCTCATTTGGTTGACATTAACGGCCACTTTAGGTGTGGTGTCAAACATGGAGCCGATGTTAATGTGTTGACCACTGGGTCCCCAACCCTTTGATAGAAACATATCTCGTTTGTATTTATTGTTGCCATTTAACTGATTGGTGGGTCTATTAGAGTACAACAGATTCATGAATTGGGAGCAAGAAATGCCATAAGTCTGGGCCAATCCATAAGGACAGGGATAGGTATTAGACGGCAGAATAGGGATCGAGTTATCCAACAAGTCTTGGGCTGAATAAAAATCCCGTTTGCCGTTAGAGAAGAGGCGTCCAGTTTTGTACTCTTCGTGCAAGAAGTCGGTCAACGCATCATAACCAGGCGTTTCCGGTGTCCAGATATTGAAGTATTGGGAATACGGTAATAGCCGTAAGGACTGGTGATAATCATAATAATCCAATGTATTATCGATTTTGTTGTCGCTGTCGTCCCAATCGCCGAATTCACTCCAATTGTGGTAATCATCGGCTGTGGACTGAGTGGTCGGCGCGACTTCAGTAGCCATCGGTTTAAGGGCTGAGATGTCGATAGTAAGTGACTTGGGTTTACTTTCAGCGCCCGAATTGACCGGTAGTTTATAGAGTGGAGAGCCGTGTAATGACTTGTAGTTATTATTAGAAAGTTTTGACAAATCAATTGACATTAGTTTCTTAAATCGTGGCCCAGAGTTATCCAACGGTACGGCCATCGATGATAAGCACCAATTGTGAACAGTTATTATACAAATTATCAGTTTTAAACACATTATAAATATATTGGTTATAATTTTATAAATGAATAAAATTGATGACTATTATTATTGTTTAGTTTTTAACAGTTATTATTATATAACTGTATAGTTATTATTGGGTCAAAGCATGCAAGTTGTGTGAAAAGCAAAAGCTTTTTGATAGTCAGACCGCTTGACCAGTCAGTTATGGGTTACGATAAGTACGAGGTATGGCTTCTGTACGCCTAAAACACTCACACATTATGTGTTTTAACAAAAAAGTCGTATAAAAATTGTATCGCAGAAAACAAAGTGTTTGTCGTCTTTCAAGTCTTCAGCCAATCACACGACTTGTGTGTGTATTGAATGGTATGAGCGAAGTGGGCGTCCACTCCGCCGATGCATACCATTCCCTTCGCATCTCATTCTTCGAGCACTACATCTGATTCCTATTCTTGTTCATCAAGTCTTTTAAGCAATTATTTTAAAACTATTGAATAACAGATTATTTTTGCATTTTTTATTTATTCATTTACTTATTTACTTACTATAGTTTTTAGAAACTATTTAACACAAAGATAGGTATATACTATATATACTATATTTTATTTAATTAATTAATTTTCACTTTACTCTTCATATTAATCCATTGGTTTAATTTGCTTCGACTTCACACATACCGACGCTAACTCTCCGCCCACACAATACTCGTGTATACAAGAGATATCTTTGTGTCTGAAGTAATAAACCATAAGATTCATAGTGTGTGTAATCCTCCTCTACAGTGGGTTATCGAGTCGATGGGCTATTGAAAGCAATTTAAACCAAACATACAATTCTGTAGCATTAGTTCAATGGACAGAATAGTAATATTAGATACCATTCAATAAAAGCTATATTTACTATAGAAATGTACGAAAATTAGTTTTTTATAAAGTTTTCTAAAATGTATAGAAAATAATTCTGTGATTTATTTATTTGATTGTAAAACTGGGTATTAAATGGACTCGAGTTTTGTGTATAATTAGTTGATCCCTAAGCCCTATGTTATATAACAGATGAGGACCGGCTGCTGCTCTATCCGTACAACAATTAGTTTAAGCTCTAATGACTAGCGATTTAATACCCAGTTATTCACTTTCTGGAGAAATAAATCAAAGATTTATAACAAACTTTAACACTAATACTGTATTTCCACCACTTTTCTACTCTTTCTATGCCTTTAGAGTATACAATATTATTTTCGCATTATGTGATGCTCTCAGGCAATAAGTCTCTCTCTCTCTCTCTCTCTCTCTCTCTCTCTCTCTCTCTCTCTCGTTGATGAGAATTTAGATTTTANTCTCTCTCTCTCTCTCTCTCTCTCTCTCTCTTGTTGATGAGAATTTAGATTTTAGCACATTCTACAGTATATGATAGATAATATAGAGTGCAATATAAAGCGGGGGCGGATTTAATGCGAAAATATTTGAACCAATGGATTAAAAATGGTTTTAATTATTAGTTACATGTATTTAATTAATAACGAGCGAAAACTCTGACACAAGCGTTGAATAACAGCCTGAAAAGTGATCGCATTTCTTGGAGCGTAAGAATAGAGCGAAAACAAGAATAGACTATAATTTAAAAAGTAAAACAACGATCACAAAGAGTGGACTCAATGAACACATAATAGGAATCAGTTGTAATGTTTGAAGGAATGGGCGCTCGAAGAATGGTGTGTGCGATGGGAGTGTACGCCCACTTCACTCATACCCTCGATGTGTATGTATTGAGTGGATTGTGCGAAGACCTGAAGACACAAACCTTTTCACATGAATATAGAAAATGGTTCACAAAAGCCATACGTATTGAAGGAGTATAGAAGCCATAACTGATTGATGGGCTGATTGTCGTCACTAATCATTGTTTTGATGTTAAACTTGTTGTTTAAATACAATCATATATTTTACACAACACTGTATACACTGAATATTAGCCTCAAAACATACAGAATATTCTGTCATTTTTCTCATGAGATTTGATTATTACATTATAAAGCGTTTAATGGTTTTGTAAATTTAATTTAAGAACTCATTTACTATATTCAAGTCATTAGTTGTTTGTATTATGCATTGAAATTGTTATGTAATGATATTAATATGTTTTTATTTATAGTTACACATAATATTTCGCTTAAAAATCAATTTTCTAATTAGTTTTCAACATTTTCTTTGGTCATTAAAAGTTATGATTTTCTAAACAATTTATTTTCTCATTAAATGAGACTAAAAATGTAATTCTAGTCACAATTTGCCAGCGAATCGCTAATTAATCGATGGGTTCACTCATATAATGCCTATTAAGAGAATTGGGATCCTATTAATGAACTGTTAAGCTGTCATACAGGAGCTGTCGGTGCCATGAATTATAGTTTACTATATAAATGAGCATAAATTGAGGCCAATATATGTGGCACTCTTTGTCCACAACAATAATACAGAAATATATATCATTTTTATGTTGTGTTGCTATTATGTCGTGAAATGTAAATTGTGTTTTGCTCATAGACTTAACAATGAGTTTTTAATTCTCGTTTCAAATTTATATTTACCTATTTTTGTGTCGAAATTCTGTATGCATTTCAATGAATTAGATTATTGTTGAGTGAGAGAAAGGACACGAAAATAATTAAATTTATCATCAATTTTATTAAAGCCTTTTTGATAAGTAATTCTGGTTTGAGTTTAATTTAATTATTCAATTATTTCGGACGCCTTTGGGTTACAATTAATTTAACAATTTGTGACAAATAGCTGTAAATTATATTAAAGTAATCACTGAATGTGTAATGAATGGTATGTCTTACTTGTTTTACAGGCAAATACGTTGGCAGTCGACCCATAAAACTACGAAAATCCCAGTGGAAAGAGAGGTCTTATGAAACGGTGAAGAAGAAGCTCAAGACTAAGCACAAAATGGGAGTCATTTGAGCCATATTTCTATCGTAGCGTACATTGTATTCAGTAATACAATATTTACATCAAATCATTTCATATGTTTCGCACTCATTATACCGTAAATTCAATAATAAAGATCGTTAAATGAAAGTCATATTCAACTTCACTTTCAAACTAATAATTTCTTTATTATCTCTTAAATATTAATTAAATTTCAAGATATGTGTAAAAATCTATATGAAAAACATGTAAATTATAATTTATAAAAGATTTTATTTTTCAATTTAAAGCTTAAGTGTATTTAAAACAATGATTTAATTTATTGTGAAACTGAAAATTTCTTCTTAACGATACGCCGAAAAGTTTTGTTTCTACTCATGATTTCGTTGATATCTAACCCTTCGGTGAGCAAAGACTTAGAGATTGTTTGCCAATATGTTTGGGGCAAACGAGCGGCCAATTCGGTCCGATTAAGCCATTCGTAATCCAAACACTTGTCTTTATTCGGCACAAAGACTCCCGTTTTGCACAACGCTTTAAATGTGAATATCTTTGCGCCTTTGGTTCCAATCTTTTCGGTTACCGCCGATGGATATCTATAGGAATAGACGGCCGACGGAACGTTCCCTAAGAACTGGACCTCCAATTCAGGCGATGAGCAAAACTGTTGGAGCGCTCGTTCGGCCGTTTGTCTCATCGTTTCTTCGGCGCCAGAGTTGGTGGCCTGCGGTAAAAGCCATTCCTCGACGGTATCGCCCAATCGTTGCCGACACACAAGCATCAGATGGCGGTCAAGACATCGGTCTAACGATTTCCTATCATTCGTTACATCAGATTCTGTGACATAAATGTTAAATACAAACAACAAATCAATCAAATAATGTCTTTCAATACAATGTCGGCGAACAGACGTGTAATTCGCGGCGATTTTGAGAACTGTGTCAACAAATGGTTATAATATTCTTCGAAGTCTTGAGCGGTCTGTTTGGAGGCGGCGTCCAAATCCTTTTCGTCCACTTTATCGCCGGCAGCCATGCGTTGCGCCCGACGTCTGAAATGGGATCAATACATGTCAACAATATGTTCAACACATGAACCAAATGACATACACGTCCTCGAAGTGTCTCATCTCGTGGTCGCAATACAGGGATCTATTGGTCTCTACGGTGTGCAACACATCCGTCATCTTCTTCTCCAACCAATTCATTTCGGGCACTATTTGTGGTGACCTCTGAAGACATACGGCGCTCATGAGGTGCCACTCGACCGACATATGTCTTGTGGCCATCCATTGCAAACACTTGCGTCCACTCGTGTGTCCAAAACGGGTCCAACACTTGACAATTGTGTTCATTATTAAGGTTTCAAATGTTATCAACAAAAACACGTTTAAAACACAATTCAAAACAATTATTGGTTTCGCAATGTTTTGGCCAAAAGTCACACATAAAGGACGTCCACCAAAATGACGGCACACTTACACCCCTTACGGCCCCCCAACTGGTCATAAGTTGCCTCATATATGATGTGTGCATTCATTTAGTGGCCATTATTTGAATGGATCAACTCATGTGATAGTTATGGTTAAGTAATCTAAAAAGATTTAAAGACTAGTCGTATATTTATGACCAATCCATACGACACGTAACCCAACCCCTGATCTCAGGTGTGATCACATGCTGTGCTCATTACATCACGTTTTAATGATTGAAAATTGCAATTTGAAGTGACGATCACTTGTGACAAGTTGTGAGCGAAAGTGTTTAAATAATTGCCACAAATGATAGTGTCTTCGCGTTTTGGATCAAATCTATTGTGTCTAACAATTGATTTGCATTTTGAGAAAACAATCACTGATTTGTTGTGCTTTTTGTGGCAGAAGTTTGTCTGAGAGCCAAATGCTGTGAGTCTTCGCCTGAAGCCCAAGAGTGAAGTGAAGTGTGTTTTTGTGGTTATTTTTATATCACACGAGTACACTTAGCCCATTTAATATAAACGCATTTTACTCAGTTGTTACATATAAAGAGGTTTACTTGTACCTAATGTATTTTGCATTTATACATCAAAACAATAGACCGGATA